GGAATCAGTAACAAAATCAAGCCAAAACAAAAATTGAATTCACGCTATTTGCAAGTTCCAATACAGAAATTGGAGCGATCTGGGGATAATTGGTGCAATTGAATTCATACCCAGCATCGTTTGGGCATGTTGTTGGATCAATTGATACCAATTTGTAGGTTCAATGAAGTTCGGGACTGGAATTGAAGGAGATGGTTTTACAAAAATGGAGGTGCCACTGTCGAAGGTTCATGGGCAAGTGTAGATTGATTGGACATTGTTTTGGTTAAGGTGAAGCCATATTTGAGGTCGCATGTTCGAGAGCTACCTGACTGTAGTAGTGTGCGACCGCGGGTATTGCCAGAGGTTGGGATTTCGGCCAAGATAGCGTGCATAAGTAGGCTGATTTTGGCTTATTTTGTGGCTGATTCGGTGGAAGATGTCGGGGGGAGTGAGGTGATGCCATCTATGATGTATCCAGCGGTCTAGGCGGCTGGAATTGGTGGTTTGAGGTATCATAGTTGGCGGCTATGGTGGTATCATGTTTCGATCAGTTTGAGAGATGTGGGTTTGAGACAGAAGAGTCAACCTCATCATATTTTGCTTATTTGACCAATATATTGTACACACACGTGCCACGTCAGTTACACATCATCAAAAATGGTTTGATTTTGAGGTTCGTGATGGATTGGGTCAAAATTTACAAAGTTCAGTGATTATTTAGGGGAAATTTGAAGTTTGGTGATCTCCTAGAAATTTTTGTACAAGTTGAGTGACTCTATGGGCTATTAACCCGCCACCAACATATCACCGTCGTAGCACCTCATCACTGCTACAACTACGAGAAAAAGTGTGGAATATTGCTATATAGTTGATTATGATTACTCAAAAAGTGATATAATAATATTTTTCAAGAATATTGATACATTTAAATTAATTATAATATTCTTTTAAAATATTAATATGTATAAATTTGTACTTTTTCAAGAATACTAATATGTATTATTTCTGCTTCTTCGGAGCAATATATTAATATTTTTCTGGAATATTGAAATTGTAATTTCATGCTCTTCAGGAACAATAACAATTTTTTATTTAGAATAATAAATTATATAAGGATTTATTCTTAAAAAGTAAAAACATAATTTATAGGATAATTGGCACAAAACGTCCCTACCTTTGCCTGTCTTTGTGGAAAACATCTATACCTTTCGTTTCTTGACACAGAACGTTCATACCTTACACTTATTTTTGCGTAAAACGTCATTTTCCCTAATTTTTTACATAAAATGACCGATATACCCTAAAATTTAAATAAAACTAAAAAGAAAAGAAAAGAAAAATCAATAATTAATTGCAATCTTACTCTTAAACTTTCTAAAAAAT